CTACATGCAAACTGTCGCCACGGTTTATCATTGTTTCAAATAGACAATACAAAAAACGTACCTAACAAGGTACCTACACACGATTCGGTCGCCCAAGACAAATATATAATATAATATAATAACACATTGACAGTGTTTACAAGCACACAATATTATGTCCCAGAACTGCAGTGTATCGCCCGTGTTAACAAAATGATTTTTAAGTAAAAAGAAATAAGCAAACCCATTGTTAGACGCGTTCACGGACATAACGTGCGTATTCTACATGGCGATTAAAAATGTTACTAATATTTCCTAGTTTCAGTTAATATTTAGAAGCACATAGAAAATCCAAAACACTGCGGCCCGCAAAAACCTCATCTCAGTGTCGCTTAACTCGGTGTGTGTGTGTGTAAATAAAAAAAGATTCATTATAATGTGTATGATCACACGTCAAGCGTATGTGAGTGTGTGTGTTATGTATATTATATACAAGTTAAGATACTCAGTAGAACAGAGAATACCCATTGTAAAGAGCGTACAGCGGAACGTCGGGAGGCGGAGAGGGTTAAGAGGAGCCATATGGTCCGTAGTCGTTTGTGTAATAATAACACAGTCGGCAGAAATCTCTGGCGTGCGCTAGTATATAATAAAATATAAGGGGATAAAAGGAAAAAAATATTAATTAAAAAAACAAAAAATGATAATAATAATTCCCCCATACCCCGAAAACGTGTAAGTGAGTGAGACGTAGTAAAAATAATATTATAAACACACACAAGAAGATATTTTTTTAACCAAAAGAAAAGGTTTATATGGTTTCCATACATAATGTTATTATACAGTAGTGTAAATTATGTCTTTGTTTGTTGTCGGCCGTTTTTTCGATATAAACAGTGCAATTTTTTTTAATATCATATCAATATATATATATTTTTTTTTTACTTTGGCTAACATGTTTTGTACATTATTATCGTTGCGTGCCTTTGGACAGTGTAGAAGATGTGAGCTGAGATTAAACGTTGATCGTCTCGTCCCAGGTTGTCTCGCTAAATAAACACACAATAAGTAATCATAATATTTGTATATCTTAGCGTTTTAACTGCTGATGGATTTTTTATTACAAAAAGTCGACGTCGCCTGTTGTACGCGGGCACTCCCATGGGCACACACTGGGAACAAGTGGGTCAACTGGATTCCGCCAAGTATATACTATTTGTTCCAGACCCAAGTTGGGTGCGATCTAGGGATATTTAATTTCCGCATATTTATAGATATTTGGATCCTAGGGGAAGGCCAGGGTGATCGAAATTCCGTCAACCGACGCGACAAGGAAGAATTCAGAAATGCAAAAAAAATGAATAATAAACTAAAAAAATTAAATAAAAATTCGAGACAACGGGTAATTATTAAAAATTCCATTGTTGACGAAAATTTTATTTTTTGCGCCATTAAAATGCGGCTACAATAAAAAATAAACAACAACACAATTGTTTTATTATATAGAAAAAACAAGTGTAGGAAAATTTAAGAGATTTCGCACATCGTTCATGACAAAAATGTAGGATTTTTTTACACAAAAAAAAAATTCTTTACAATATACTTTCCATGTGTGCGTTATAAAATATTACATTTATTTATAAAATAATCTACGTTGGCTTGTTTAACGGTGGGCGAGGTGGAGGGGGTATGGTTTTTAGCGAGAGAAGCCAATCTCGTAAATAGATATTTTCTTTTTAAACAACCAGAGTGACCCGGAACGACGGCATTAAATGAGTTATTTAAATTAAAATCCATTTGAATTGATTTTATTGATTTCATGGAATATCTGGTAGAAACAGATAATAAAACCAAATGGGGAAAACGATTCTTGGTAGTAAAAATAAAATAAATACACCAACACTTACATAAATTCCCCATCGCGTTATGAATATTATAGTTTATAATTATACGTTCTTATATTATATTAGGTATTATTATTACTGGCTACTGCTATTACAAGTTTATAGGGCAATTAATATTTGGTGACAAAAACACAAACTATTTGAATAAAAAAAAAAAAAAGATAACTCTTGTTTTTCTTTAATATTATATTTCGTGTAATTTGTATAATTGACCGCAAAAACAATAATACATGTTATCAACAGAACGGATTGCAGTGGTCGGAGAAAAAAACGCAATTATTACCATAAAAATCAAAAAATCATAATATTAAAAGAAAAACATGATAATATTATTTATTATTAAATATTGTCTGTGTTTACAAGGCAACGTGTGTGTTGTTTATTTCTATTAAAACGTTATTGGAGAAAAAAAACCTTGAATAAAAATATAATCTTAATAAGATGTTTTTTAGAATATACACACACGACGGTGGCGGCACATAGAAAAACAAACAGTAGCCCGATAAGTGAGAGAGAGAGGACTCTACCCGCACCTATATCCGGTGTACCCTTAAACGTGTAAAAATATAAGTAAACACTGTAAAAAAAAGTTTAGGTGTCTTTACCGCATCTTCCGGGTATGTATACTTAGAAGACTAAGACGCCGCGCCGCCCACACATCTCGTAAGATGATGTTGTATATATTTTTCTTTGTTAAAACACATTACTGCTAATCGGTTGGAGACCACTTTTGTACGATAAACCGTTGAAAAGCATGCCAAAGTCAAGAATGATTGTGATAATGTATTATTTTTTTTTATTGGCCCGGTCTCGTGTGACGGCTATCCCAAACGAGAGTATAAAAATTTGTCATTTTTTAATAACAGCCTCGGACGTGTCTCGTTCAACGAAAACTCATATTTTATTATATGTTATTATAACTTGTTAGCGAAATTTGAGTGATACACGAATATACACGTTTTGTACTTGTAATTTTTTTGATAGTTTTGCAACAACCGCCGCACAGGTAAAATAGCGCCGGCGCGGAATAGCTTATTTATTTATTATTATTAGCCTAAATTATCTTGTTTATACTTGGCCGGTCGTCGGTGCCCGGTTTCCTGTGTACAGGTGCAAAAACGCTATACTTGTTTCCGGAAAGAAAAAAAACAAATTGAAATTCTACGCAAAAAAAACTGCGGCCGTAAGCACCGCGCCGGCCGTTGCAAAATCAAATTGCAAAAAAAAAATTCGAAAAAATTCGACAATAATAAGAGAACAATAAAAAAAAAACACGTTTCCTTTTAGCCCGCATGTCGTGTTCCGTGTTCTATTTCCTCTATGTGTGTATCGGTTAAGTATAAAATATAATTAACCGGCATGGAGACAGAAAAAAAAAAAGGTTGTGCAATATCAGTAATTGATAAAAAATATTTAAAAAAAACCTATTGGACGTTTGTCGAGCCTTCCCCTCCAAAGAAGTGATAAAATAATTGAATAATGTCTGATTAATGTTGAATTTATTTGCCACCGACAATTTGACAAACTGGACAATCTCGTAGAAACGACATTGGTCAAATAAAAATACTATAATTATTGTATATAATATTTTTAATTAGAATTGAAAACAATTTTATAAAGGTTTTCAACAGGATTTTGATATAATACAGAGATAGGATATAAATACCTAGTATTGTAACGATTTTCATGTATTTTCACTATAACCATATACCAGCACTACGAATTCATGTAATGTGTATAATAATATGTATTTGTGTTAAAAATATTGGAAAATAAGTATAAGTATGCAACCGTTTACAATCGTTTTTTTTTTGGTTTATCATAAACTGTACTTAAGTCCATTACCTTTTTTGCCCTGAACGTTGTAGACCGGCGCTGCTCTGCTTATACGGTTAGCAAAGGCTAATAGTAATAATACATATATTATATTGGTGGCAACGCGGTGGCGGCGACGGACCGACAAAATAGAGATGCGATAGATGAAAAACAAAATATGGAATTAAAATATTATTGTAACGATAAAACCGCGGAGAGGGGGTGGGGCGTGAAATATAATTATTATAAAAAAAACACACTAGTGTACATAATAATGTATAATTAATAATAAGCGCGATGATAACAAGAGCCGTTTTACTCGACTACGTGGAAAATGTGTCCTATGCAGTTGGGCAAAAAAATTCAAGAAAGAAACGGATGACGCCAACGAGAAGGAAGGAATATGGGCAACAAATTAGATGAGAAAAAAAATAAATGTACGCACACATATTGTACATGTAAAATAAAAATTATTAAGTTAGATAACGAGGTGTGATAATTGGTTTAGGTCAACTAGTCTGTAAGAGTGATGATTTTTTTTATTCTCCTTCTTTTCTTATTTAGCAGGCTTACGTGAATTTATCGTTTGTAATTTTTTTTTTATTGTTCAATAATAATTCTTGTAGATGAGCTACTACTTCACGACCGCCGAGGCGAGATAAGCGCGAATTTCGCGAAAATAAACCAATTTTTTTGTTAACCAAACATAATGAGATTATAATAATTTGTAGTCGGTCTACTCTCTAGCATTAATGTGCTATTTTAATAAAACAGATTAATTATAACCCACAGTGCTCTATTGGAGCGTATGCAAGGATTGAAAAAAAAACAACATGAAATTTACTGAAACGGAAAGAAAATATGTTTAATGTAAAACGAATTTATTGCAATTTTTATTTTCCACAATAAATAAAAATTCTTGTTTCTATAAAATTATACAAAATAATACTTTTATCGCCGAGACATTTTTTTTAAAGTGAACAATTATATCGGTCGGTTTCTTTTAAAATATCTTGTTATACGCCCATGCTGATTAATTGTAATCAAATATTACAAGTAGGCGTTTGCAAAAAAAAAAAAAAAAATGATTTAAAACGTTGAATACATTAATTTTACCGTTTTACCCTATTTTTTAATTTTATTGTCGTGACGCAGACGTTGAGAATTTTTACACGTCAAGAAAATTATTGCATTTTATTTTGTAACTCTACAGTTTAAATTGCAAGTGTCTGCTACAGCGCCCCTACAGCCTTATCGAGGGGGGTTCGAAAATATAAGCTCATAGTTCTGGTAGGTACTCACAATAGCAACTTGTGGTGTGCGATACACTGCAGTTGCACATGCACGCGATGCACTGGATACTGGTGCGACGATGTCCACGGCTGCTGCAGTTGCACAAACAACGAACGACGAACGTAATATTTATATTTAACGAATGATAAACGATCAACAACAAATCGAACAACGCACGAAAAAAAAAATTGCCCGTCGAAAATGTCAAAAACAGGTGTGGAAAAAATCGGTCAACCGCGTGTATAGCAAGTACAGGTAGGTACACACGAATCCTCGTATGCGACACACGTCGGACGGCCGGTAAAAAAAAAAAAATTAGGCTAAAAAATAGCACGACAAATCACATAATAATATTGAGTATTAAAATTTATGGTTTTTATTTGAGCAAAAAATTAATTATCACAAAAAAAAAAAAACCGAATAAGGTCCAAGATCGTCGGACCACACGCACTCGTACACACACACAGACACGCACCGCTGTTGTTTTTTTTTTTTTATCCGCACTTGATGTGAGTGTGTGTGTGATGTGAATAAAAAAATTATGCGCGATATTTGTAACAATTTTTTTTTTCTTTTCGAATATGCGACTGCGACGGCGGCGACGGCGACGAGTAATCACGCGGTTCGCGTGTGCGTTTGTGTCGGGTGGCGGTGCCGGTGCGGTGGCCAGGTGACACTGAAATGTAAAATTCGAAAAGCAGGAAACCCTTGGTATCCCCACCGAGGCGGCCGCGGCGACGGCACCCGAACGGCCGACCCGAACCGCCCGGCCCGCCCGAGCCGGACCGCCGTCTGGGCGCGGCTCGCGTGCGCGGGCAGGGGAACGGATTTTCGAGTCCAATGGCCACACGTCGCGGCGTTTCCCTCCAAAAAAAAAAAAAAAACAAACCACCGAAAAATCACACCTTTTTTTTCCACCGGATTCCGCTTATTAACGTTTTCCTCACCCCCCCCCCCGGGTCTGTCTGTCCCACCCCCAACCCCCTGGTCTGTCTCCTTCTCTCACTCGCGCGCCCCCGACCAGGCGTGCACGTCGCGCACGTTGAAATTAAAACTCTTTAAATTCTGCTGATCGAGCAAAGTGCAAAATAATAATAATATAGGTAGAAAAAGAGTGGTGAATATACGTTTCTCGCTGAACGTCGCAAATATCAAATACACAGACAACATCTCAATTTAAATTGAACAACCGGACCAGAGCAAAAGAGTATCTTTAAAATGATAAAATTCTTAAAAACAACCGATCTGTACAAAAAATTATGAAAAAAAAAAATATTTAATTTATGTAAATAGTAATTGTTATTAATGTTTATCTAATGACCCATGTTGTCAAGAAGATCAATAAAAAAAAGAAGAGTGAATTTGTCAAATGTTCCAAGTGCCAAGTAGTATAAAAGTTAAATTTAATTTGAATGTTTAGTAAATTTTCCAAGTGAGGAATAGTTATTATTATTATTATTGTTTTTTTTATTTAAGATTCTGCATAATATGTAGGTACAATATATCTCAACAATTACATATAATTAAACAATAAAAAAAAAATGGCTAATAGATATATATATAAAATTAAAACAAAACTTAACCACATACATTAAAATTAGAAAAACCAGCCTCGGTAATAAAGGAAATAATCTGTAGAATGAGAGGTTTGGAATTGGAATTCAGCATATAGAATAGATAGAGAAAGGAATGTTTAAGGATCTAAGGCAGTTAGCTAAAATATCGCGTTTAGGGGACAGGGAGCAAGTGAGGAAGTGAGATATTTATAAAAAAAACCAATCATATTTAACACTTAAAAACATGTTAGTGTGTTAACGGTAATGAATAAAATACAAATCAAATTATAAAGTTCAATTTTCATACTTTGACAAACTCACTCTTTATTATATCATAGTAATAATAGTATTAAAACAACCACTGACCAGTGCCCCAACCCCATTGCGTATACAAGACACATTTTGGCTAGTGAGAAACGTAAAAAAAATGCCCTGTCTTGTTCAATTTAAATGTTCAACAATAAAATTAGGTATATGTCTTTAATAGTGTATTTTTAATGGGGTTTTTATGGAACTGAATACACACAAATATATATATATATATATATATATATATATTATTATACACAAAAAAAAAATACAAAATCGGTTTAACTAAAATTTGGCCAACATTTAGGGACACAATAAATGTCTAGTTGGGCCAACTGAATTTTTAGTTAAAGCAAGCAGCAACTATACATTTAGTTGGGCCAACTATTTATTTATTTAGTTATTACAGCTAGAAATAATGGATTGTGTCCTTATATTTACCATAGTTGTACCAACTATGTATTTTTTCTATGTATTTATATCTATAATATATTATATAAAACAGTTAGTAAATAGATAAAATGAAAACGGCTAATATCAAAAGTGTGATTTCAATATTGTCTTTTGCAAGATTTTTTTATTATTCTGAATCTAAAACATTAACAATTTAATTTTTTCAAAAGTTGACTATTTAGCTGGTCATGAATGCTTTTAAATGACATGAAAAAAAATCAGAAAACCGCTGAAACTGCTTTTTCACACTTAAATTGGCCACTTAACAAGTCGGCGTCAATTTGTTTAAACATAGTATGTTTATCTTTTTTATTTTAAAACTATTGAGATAAAAAGACACAATAACTGTTAACGAATTTTTCAATTTGAATGCATATGACTCATGAGTGTATACTGTATACATATATTTTTGATAATTGCTTATCTACAGGTAAGTAAGTAGTTCTAGCAGATAGTAAAATTTCAAAAATAACTATAAAAATGTAAAAGTTTATGACCATTCATGTTCAACCTGATCAGTGTTCGTCTTGTTTGAACTATGATTATTTTTATGGTTCTTATATATAAATTACGGCAATAGATACCTAACTCGGTTAACTTTATAACAAGAAATAATTGGTAAAATAATAATTCCTTAATTAAAAAAAAATCTAATCTAATAGCGGGACGTCTCCGATGGTTTGTTGCTTTGGTCCACTTTTTGTTTTTTCCTTATTAAATATTATAGTAGACAATAATGTGGATAGACATGTTTTAAGATTTATGAGAGGAAATCACAGCAACTTGTTTTAATGTGTTTAATAAAAATGTGAAAAAATAAAGAATAAGTATAAGTTTTTTTTAATAATTACTTTGATGGATTTGTCGCAGCACTTGAGTTTTTGTCTTCAATGATAGAACATTATATTTAAACTGTTAACGGTAATGAGTAAGACTTATTCACTGGATTAAGATCCAACACGGTAGAACCGCACTTACTATTTCTATATAAAGTATACGACGCCAGGTCAATTGTATGTATAATATCCGTTATTAAATAAAATGACTGTAAAATATGTGTTATTGTTATTCAATTCCGACTGCGAATGGTTATAATTTTTTAAGCTTAATGAATTTTAAGATACTTACAATACGTGTTGTTCAAACGATTACATTTTGTTGAGACAATACTCAAACAAACCTTCGAAAATATTATAAAGAATGACGTTAATATGAAGAAAAAAAACCATTTATACGGAATATAAAATAAAATTTATAGATTTGTACGTTCGTGAAACTCAAAATTATTACATTTATTGTTTTTTTTTTATATGAAAATTGACAGCAGTTATTATTAAAAAAAAACCCATTGTATTTTGACAACTGGTTATTTGTTTCATTAAAATGTGGAAACGGATTTAAAAAAAACGCAATTTTCGAGTAAATATTGGAATTATTAAAAAAAAACAATTGTACAGTAAAGGAAAACAAAACGCGTGTACTATATGTTATTCAAAATATACATTGATGGTACCCAGATAGGTTTGCATTTAATATGTACCCGTGTACTCGTTTTTGGCTAATCGATCTGTTCATTGCCACTAGCGGGTACAGTAGTAATATTATAACGGTAATGGTAACAAGAATAAAAATAAATAATAGGTTTATCTTTATTATTATATATTTACAAATAAAACCCACCTCGTTGCTGCTACGTACATCATTACTTACACACAATAGCTTTTTTTGGCGATCCGGCATTGGGTACTTAAAAAGTAAGACATTGGAATGCGCACAGGACTTGAAAAAAAGGGTCGGTTTGCGAAATCGCTATATGATGTGTGCAGCACAGTAAAATATATTATATATATATTTTTTTTTTTTTACTGGAGGTCATCGATTCCTGATGTACATACAGTCGGTTTGGATGTATCGAAATACCGCGGCGTCTGATTATTTTTTAAGCAACGATAATGGATTATTCTATGCTATATATGTGGCCACGTATATTGCAAGAAAAATGTGTAATGTCTTATTGTTGTTGTATGTATGTATGATTTTTTTTTTCCACAGAGAAATAATATGTAATGCCGGTTTTCGACTCTTATGAGATTAATTAGAACTCGGTTCGCATTATTTTGTTTTTTGTTCTAACCGCGGGCACATATCTGTATTTTAGTTTTGAGAATTAAATTCCTTCGCACAAAACTATGTTTTATTCTTCAGAAAATCAAAAAAACACTTTCGGTTAGATCCTTGATTGATATTTGTAATTATTGTATAATAATTAATGAGCATTAAGGATTCAAAACAATATAATAACCAAGACAATATTTATGTGTAAAACATTTTCAATATAAGTTCAAACTAACTCTTGCTCACATTTTGGACCATTTGTAAATTTCAAGTACATCACTATAACCTCAAGGTTATATAAGTGTATCGATTTTGTATTATTAGTTAAGGTTTAATTGTTTTTAATACCTAAAAAATACAAGCAAGGTTTAGTCGCTTGTTAAGCATGTACAGTTTTGTATTCCTCAAACATATAAAATTACTAATGACTAATATAATGATTCATATCATGGCTGTACTTGATATATTTAAGTATTTAAAAATTATTTGGACTTCGGATGCCACTTGATAATTAATTAAAAATTAGATAATGTATTCAATTAATTTTAAACATTTTTAAAAGAAACACATTTAATTATATTATTTAGTAAAGAGTAGATGGAATAAAAAACTGTACCTAAATGTATTAATTACCAACAATTCTTGGCTGATAATAAATGTAGAAAAGTAGGTATACAGGAACAAAACAATAAAAAAAAGTAACTCAATACTTACATACTCAGAATTTCAGGTAACATAAAATATTGTTGGTCATCCTTTTTACAAACTTTGCAAATATCTTCTTCATCTTACCCAAAATTATGTTACAGTGTCATATAGTGCTCGGTATTAAAAAATTAAAATTTGTATGCAATTCTCAGCTGTTAGTAATTCTTTATAACCGAAAAAATGTGCAATTGCACAACAATATGTTTCTGTACTTACAATAATTATTTTTTAGCGCATTCATACCTATATAACACTTTCTCATGGGCCCGCAACCGTGTTGAATAGATCATCTTAAATCGTCGTTTTATAAAACCGGCACGGTGGTTATAAAAAGGGTAAATTTCGTTTTGTCATGATTTAATTCGATTTGCTCTTTATGTATAAGCATCACACTGTGTATTTCAATAGGAACGGTGTGTTTACGAAATTTAACGGTCGCTTTCGCATCCTTTCTGTAAAAACGGGTCGCACACCTCACAGCCGAGAGAGGGTCAAGTGTGCAGTTTTAAAAAAGAAATTATAAT